GAAGGGGTGAGAGCTCCGGGGTGGGGCTGGAAATGAGGGGTGCGGGATAGGGTTCCAGGCTGGGGCAGGGGATTGGGGTGCGGGAGGGGGTGAGAGCTCCGTCTGGGGATGTGGGCTCTGGCGTGGGGCCGGGAATAAGGAGTTTGGGGGGACACAGGGTTGGTGCGTGTGGTTGGGGTGCAGGCTTACCTGCGGCAGCTGCTGGTCAGCAGTGCAGCGGGGGGGGCTAAGGCAGGCTTCCTGCTTGTCCTGGCACTGCTGACCGCGCTGCGCCCTGGAAGCAGCCGGCAGGTTCGGCTCCTAAGGGGAGGCTTGGCAGTCGGCTCTGTGCCACATGGCTCTCACCTGCAGGCATCCCCCTCCCCCCCCCCGATCCCATTGGCTGTGGTTCCCAGCCAGTGGGAGTGTGGAGCTGGTGCTCGGGGCAGGGGCAGCGCGCAGAGCCCCGTGGCCCTCCCCGGCCTAGGTGCCGGACCTGCTGGCTGCTTCCGGGGTGCAGCACGCTGCCAGGACAGGTAGGGACTAGCCTGCCTTAGCTCCACAGCACCGCCGACCGGACTTTTAACGGCCCAGTTGGCGGTGCTGACCAGAGCCACCAGGGTCCCTTTTCGACTGGGCGTTCAGGTCGAAAACCGGACACCTGGTCACCCTAGTATCCCAGCATGAATTGCTCCTTGTCCCAGTGCCCCTCCGTGTCCCAGCATGCACCACTCCCCATCGCCCAGCCTGCGCCCCTCACTATCACCCCATCCCCCTGCATAGAACCCAGGAGTCCTAGCTCCCCTCCCCCCCGCTCTAACCCACTCCCCTCTCAGAGCTGGGATAGATAACCCATAAGTCCAGGTTCCCAGCCTCCCGTGCTGCAACCCACTTCCCCTCCCAAGGTGCCTATAAAACACACTGCCAATCTGATAAGGATTTTGAAATATATATGATTTATTGAGGTTTTACGTCAAAGAAAACATTATCAGTTAACCAGGAGTACAGTCAATACAAGAAAACCACAGATAGGGAGGAGAGAATCTAGGTTCCTTCCCCCTCCAAACATGACACAATGAAACTTTATTCCAACATAATGACTCAAGTATGTGTATAAAATTGTTGGTTTCTATTCATGGACCAGCAAACAGTATATCAGAACTAGCTAAAGTGAATCTCTTACAAGCACTGTCTTTAGGCCTTTGATTTGTGTTGCCAACAGCTATGGGTATAGTTTGGCCAATGACCAGAACATCTGTTTGGGTTACATTTAAATTCACAAAACTAAAACCCACTAGGCTGAAATTCACAAAACAGAATTAGGACGATCCAAGACTATAGCCCAGTATTACTAGAATAAACAATATGATCCTTTACTACGTGACCACTCAACAATGGCCCATTTGAGCATAGCACTCGGCCAAACAACACCGGACAGTACGTAACACCAGGGATATGCATCTTTTTTCCATCATAGCCTCAGATGCAAGGAGGTAGTAATTTGAGTCACTGTCTATTGACCCTAAATAACATCATAATTCATCCACAGAGTGTACTGAATGCCCTCTAGTGGTAGGTCTACTTACAGTACTAATACTTATATCGCGCTTATAAATATTAACTAATAAAAACTCAGCTCAGTAGTGTTATCACCCTATTTAAGAGTGGGGAAACTGAGAGTGAGGAAATTACTTGCCCCCGTATGGTCAGCAGCAGAGACAGAAATAGAATCCAGGTGTCCTGACTCCCAGTCCTCTCGACTCTAACTAGACCACACACTCCACCCTTAGAGGAGAAGAGACACCAGGAATACTGGCTCTCAATTCTCCTTTTAAGGCTTGTCTATATGGGGAAACTGACCAGAATCTATGTGGAATAAGCTCCCCAGGTGGCCACTCTATTCTGGAATAATTAGTGAGCTTCTGAAGTGAACCACTTAGGACTTGGCTACACTTGCGAGTTAGAGCGCATTAAAGCAGCCCCGGGCGCCCTAGCTCATTACCCGTCCACACTGGCAAGGCACGTAGAGCGCTCTGACTCCGCAGCTAGAGCGCTCCTGGTACTCCACCTCGGTGAGTGGAGTAATGTTTGATGTGCCTTGGCTACAACGCCCGGGCGACAGTGTGAACGGGGTGTTGCATTACTGCGCTCTGATCGGCCTCCGGAAACACCCCATAATCCCCTTAAGTCAAGTGGCCACTCTTGGCATTGTTTTGGAATCACTGCAGGAATGCAGATATGCCCTTTCAAAGCTCCGTTTCTGACAGCCGGCTGCTTATCTGCTCCGAGACAAAGCACCCATTACTGTGGAATGCTGTGAGAGAGAGAGGCGGGGGGAAAGAGGGGTCTGCTACTGTCTGAACTTACAAGACAACATGCTGACATACTCTCAGCCTCCCAAAACCCCACTCTCTCGCCCCCCACATACACACAACACACTCCCTGTCACACTCCACTCCACCCCCACCATTTGAAAAGCACGTTGCAGTCACTTGCATGCTGGGATAGCTGCCCATAATGCACCGCTCCCAGTGCCGCTGCAAGTGCCGCAAATGTGACCCCGCCGGTGTGCTTGAAGCTGTCAGTGTGGACAGACTGCAGCGCTTTCCCTACTGCGCTCGCCGAAGGCTGGTTTAACTCAAAGCGCTCTACATCTGCAAGTGTAGCATGCCCTTACTCTAGAATCAAATCCCTCTTCTCTCAGGCTACGTCTTCACTACCTGCCGATCCGGCGGGTAGCAATCGGTTTATCGGGGATCGACTTACCGCGTCTCGTGAGGACGCGGTAAAATCGATCCCTGATCGCTCTGCCGTCGACTCCGGAAATCCACCTCGGCAAGAGGCGGCAGCGGAGTCGGCGGCAGCGCGGCAGCGGTCGGCTTTCCCCCGTCCTCACCGCCAGGTAAGCCGACCTAAAATACGCAACTTCAGCTACGGTATTCACGTAGCTGAAGTTGCGTATCTTAGGTCGGAACCCCGCTGTAGTGTAGACCTAGCCTCAGAACAAAGAACCCACATAGGGAGCTACTGCAGTCAATTTGCCAATGCAGATAAGCCCTTAGACTCCTCCTCTCTTCTGCTGCAATGGATGGACCCTGTTACAATGACTTGGTGCAATGAGGTTAATACTGAGGTGGGAAGTTTAGACTTTAATTCCCCCCTCACCTTCCTGCAACTACTTATACGTCTCAAGCTCAGCACGCTATCAGTGCAGGGTTGGTATTTTACCAATACACACAAACACACAACGAGCGCATACAAACCGATATAACACAGCCAAGAGACCGAGAACACTGCCTTTGGAACTGTTGAGAGTCTACAGTCTGTTAGTCACTATAATGGAAGGGTTCTCAACTGTATAAAGTGAAGCCTACTCTAAAGATCTTTTATTTAGTGTGACAATAACTAGTGTGTAGGCTCCCAGCCCGGGAGCTCTGACCCCACCAGGGGAGTCATGAACAGGTGTGTGACCACCATGCCCTAGATGGGAGGGGAATCCCAGGGCAGTTTTGCTGTGGGAAGGGTTCCAACACACTGAATTAGTATCTCTCAGGCTGGGAGCACCTTGCCTCAGCTAGATTTGAACCACTAACCTGGAGGTTAGCTCTGGTGATGTCCTGGTAGCTTAAACCAAGGCTCACCATAACATCAGTTTTCAGCTACTCCCAACCTCCTTCCCCCACACAAATTCCCAAATACTCAATCACAGCTGGGAACGGAATTCATTAGTGCTGACTCTTGGCGGCCCCGCCTGGCACTAACCCACTAGACCCCACTCCCCCCACCCCCAAGAACTCTAGGTAGAACCCAGGAGTCCTGACTGCCAGCCCACCTGCTCTACCCCCAGACCTCAATCCCCTCCCAGATCCAGGAAGAGAACCCAGGAGTCCTGCCCCCACCTGCTCTAACCACTAAATTCCACTCCCCTTCCAGAGCCAGGGATTGAACCCAGCAGTCCTGACTCTCAGCCTCCCCTCCACCCCCCCACACTAGACCCCACTTCCGGAGCTGCAGGAAATCTGGATAAAGAATTCTCGTGCTCCAAGACAGGAGGCCCAAGGAATTCACGTACTTTAAGTCAGGAGGACGTTGACCCCACCCAGGGTCAGGACAGCCACCGGCTCCTCCCCCTGGTGCAGCTGCTGGTGGCGAGTGAACTGCTGCTTGTAGCGGAAGCTCTTCCCACAGGCGCTGCAGCCGTAGGGCTTCTCCCCGGTGTGGATGCGCCGGTGTTTGACCAGCTTGGAGTTGACGTAGAAGCCGCGCCCGCAGTCGGAGCAGCGGAAAGGCTTCTCGCCAGTGTGGATGCGCTGGTGCTCGATGAGGGTGGAGCTCTGGCTGAAGCGCTTGCCGCACTCTGTGCACTCGTAGGGCCGCTCCCCAGTGTGGGTGCGGTGGTGGGACACCAGGTGGGTCTTCTTCTTGAAGCGCTTGCCGCACTCCCCGCAGGCAAAGGGCTTCTCCCCGGTGTGGGTGCGCTCGTGCTTGATGAGGTTGGAGCTGAGGCTGAAGCGCTTGCCGCACTCCCTGCAGCCGTAGGGTTTCTCGCCCGTGTGGGTGCGCAGGTGCTTCACCAGGTTGGAGGTGCGGCTGAAGCTCTTGCCGCACTCGGGGCAGTGGAAAGGGGTCTCCCCGGTGTGGGTGCGCTGGTGCTCGGTCAGGGCGGAGCTGCGGCTGAAGCTGCGCTGGCACTCGGGGCAGGTGTAGGGCTTCTCGCCCGTGTGCGTGCGCTGGTGGCCCAGCAGGGTGGAGCTCTGGCTGAAGCGCTTGCCACACTGGCCGCAGACGAAGGGACGCTCGCCCGTGTGGATCCGCATGTGCTCGATCAGCACCGAGCTCTGGCCGAAGCTCTTCTCGCACTCCGTGCACCGGTAGGGCTTGTCCACTGGCCGCCGGGCGGCAGGGCGGGGAGGTTCCAGGATGCCCAGAAGGTTGATGAAGCCCGGCTCGGAGCAAGCGTGTTTAATCCGTCTCCTCCTTGGAGGGTCTCTCGGCTCGTTTCCCGGGACACGGACACTGGAGGACGTCCCACGTGGCTCTGCTTTACTTGTTGTCCCGACAGCTGCCAGGAGAAGACGGATTAATAAATTATCAGGATAGAAGGGACCACTATGATTACATCTTCTGACGGCCAGCAAAGCGCTGGATTGTCAACTCTTTGGGGCAGGTACTCTCTGTTTGCTCCGTGTCTTTACAGCATCCAGCACAATGGCTGCTGAGCCCTACTGTAATACACCTACTACATAATGTACTGCACCTTGCACAGGGGGACCCTGACCCATGATTGGGCTCATAGAGGCTATCGTAATACACCTAATAAATCATCACCATCGGTGATCCCTCGATTGGAGGATGATCTACGTAACCTGCTCAGCGGCTGGGGAAAGGCATTCCTACCCTGCAGCAGGGAGAAAGGGGATGGCAAAGGATGTAAAAGACCCTAATCAACAGGGACCGAATCCTTGACAGACCTTTCCCCCGAGCGGAGAGGCTGGTTCTGCCCCAACATCCCATCTGAGCCCTGGGGGGGGGCGGGGAATGGGGGTCCTCAGGACAGGCAGGAGCCTACCATCAGGTCCTGAGCCAGACAAAGGGGAAGGGGGAAGCCCTGCTGGGGTCCCAGCTGTTCCCTCCTCCCCCGGACCCTGCGAGCCGGTGTCACTGATCCATCACCTGGGAGCTCCCTTTCGGCAGCGCCCCGCCCAGCCGGGCCCCGCGGCTCGGCCCCGCGCTCCATGTGGGCGACCGGGGCAGGCGCTGGGAATCCCGCTCAGCGGGCGGGACCAGGCTCCAGCCGGGGCTCCCTGCAGAGACCGGTCCATCGGCTCAGCCCAGCATTCCAGGGGGAACCCGGTGATGATGTCATCGGCCCCGGGTCACGTGATGAAGGGGAAGGGGGGGAGCAGCTGTTGCTAGGAGACCAAGGGAGACAGACAGGCCTAGAGGGCCTCACTGCTTTTGGTTCCTGCAGGATACACTGTTATTAATAAAGATGAGCTGTTGCCCCATTGTCATCTAGTATCCCAGCATGCACCATTCTCTCTTAACCCCCCCCCCCAGTGTTCCCTCCTCTCTGTTACCCTTCACAGCATGATCTGCCCCTTATCACCACCTCCCAAAGCTGGCAGGGGAACTCATAGATTCTAGGACTGGAAGGGACCTCGAGAGGTCATCGAGTCCAGTCCCCTGCCCGCATGGCAGGACCAAATACTGTCTAGACCATCCCTGATAGACATTTATCTAACCATGTATCCTAGCTCCCCCCTTCTTTAGTTGTGAGACCCCACTCCCCTCCCAGAGCTGGGACGAGAACCCAGGCTGGAGTCCTGGCTCCCAGCCCCCCGCTCTAACCCCCCAGAGTCCGCTTCCCTCCCAGAGCTGGGGATAGAACCCAGGAGTCCTGGCTCCCAGCCCCCACCCTGCTCTAACCCACCAGAGTCCACTTCCCTCCCAGAGCTGGGGAAAGAACCCAGGAGTCCTGGCTCCCAGCCCCCACCCTGCTCTAACCCACCAGAGTCCACTTCCCTCCCAGAGCTGGGGATAGAACCCAGGAGTCCTGGCTCCCAGCCCCCACCCTGCTCTAACCCACCAGAGTCCACTTCCCTCCCAGAGCTGGGGAAAGAACCCAGGAGTCCTGGCTCCCAGCCCCCCCACTGCTCTAACCCACCAGAGTCCACTTCCCTCCCAGAGCTGGGGATAGAACCCAGGAGTCCCGGCTCTAACCCACCAGAACCCACTCCTTTCCCAGAGCTGAGAACAGAACCCAGGACTCCAGACTCACCGCAGCTCTAATCACTAGGCACCACTCTCCCAGGGTGCACCACTTTCACAGCGCACTGCAAGACAAAGCTGACATTTCAGGGACTTTCACATTTATTTTCGGTGACAGTCTACTGATGTTTTACAAGAAAGAAAGAAAACAGCAGCAGTTAAGCAGGAATACGGTCAGTACAAAACAACCAGAGACACAAGAGCGGAGAACCTGAGTTATGTCTGCCAACACAAAACGATTGATTTAATGAGCATCTCTGACATAGGAGTCCGATGCACAGAGAGATTAGCCCTAGTAGTATTGACAGTTAAAGCTAAATCTCCTGTGTTATCATAAGCATCTCAAGTGGTTTTGGAGTTAGATTGATTCATATAGTGGATGTTTCATGGATGTAGTGTTGTCAGCTCTTGTGACTTTATCACAAGTCACACAATACTTGTTGTTTTTCTTAGCATCTCAACTCCTGAACTTATCTATGTAAAAAATCTCAGGCTTCATTCCAAAAAATAAGTTTCTAGCCCTTGTGGTTACAGAGAAAAGTGTGAAAAGGTGGCCTCTAAAGGCTCAAAGAAGGCAAAGAAAAAGAACCACAAATTTCTCGTGTTTTAAAAAAGTCATGAGTTTTTAAGCCTATCTTTTGGGGGATGGAGGACACTGATTCATGGACTTTGAACACTTAGGGTTGGCAGTACTGCATGTGCAATCTGGCTAGCCAACAAGAAGTCAGCATAGTTTACATTAAAATTCACAAAAAGAAAATCTGTTACATTTACATTTACAAAACAGAACTGGACAGAATGACCCAGACTGATGTGGTCAGGTAAGAGCCCCCTATTTATCAAATTAAACAATATGATCCTTTATTACATAATCACTCAACACTGGGTCATTTCCCATGGCATCCTGCTAAAGGACAGTATGTGCTAAATCATTACCACAATGGATATGCAATGTTTCCCCGCTTTAATATCAGGTTGCCATTTGAGTCACTGCCTATGGACCCTAAGTAATGTAGCAATTTGTCCATCTAGTGTTTGGAATGTCCTCTAATCATAGGTCTATTTACAGTACTCTTTAGTTTAGGAAATGCGTGTTGGACTGTACTACCCAGAATATTTAGTGAGGAACTGGATGTTCCTGTGTTTTGAGAACGAAATAGAAAGAACTGTGCATTGCATGGATCAAATCGCAAGGTCTCTGCGTCTGATTCTGCTCTCACTTACACAGGTGTAAATCAGGAATAACTCAGCTGAGATATGTCCTCTGAAGTCACACTGCAAGTCAGTAACAGAACTGGAAATACAACATAGGAATCTTGATCCTGCTACCCCTAGCTCTAACCACCAGACTCTATTCCCTTCCCAGAGCTAGAAATAGAATCCAGGGATCCTGATTTCCAATTCTCCCTCCTTCCCCTCACACTGTAACCACTAGATCCCACTCCTCTCATCGAGCTGAGATCAGAACCCAGGAATCGTGATATCCAGTCCTCTGCTAAGACCACCCCTCTTTTCCATCATATTAATGGAAGGACCCTATTCTAGTGTCTATTCATAATGAGTAGAGTTAATACTCAGGATCAAAAGCTTTGCTTTGAATTTCAACCTGGCTTTTGTGTGAGAATTAAAATCTCAGCTGTAACATTATCTCAAAGTAGGGCTGTAAAAACACATAAGAACTAGTCTATATGGCAATGTAACACCACAATCAAGCGCCTAAGAATGCTGTCTTTATAACCATTAAGAGTCTAATATAGTAATCCCTCTTAATACGGGGGTTTGCAACCATATACAGTAAAGCCTACACTAAGAGTCACCTCCTGTCTACCTACCTACCTACGCGATCATCACTCCAGAATCACAGGGCTAACTCCTGTCAGAAGCAACCTCTTTGAATTATCCCTAGTTTACATTTTGCTTTATTAAAAATAATATTGAGTTTATATTTGGGTGTGAATTTAATCCCAGGGAAAGGTGCCCTGGGAGACCGGATTCTCTAGGCACGTTCATAGGAGCCTGGGAAGTGTGAGATGGAGCTTGCCCAATACACGCACCCTGTGCCCCTCCCGCTGTGCCTCACCCTGACCTGGAGACTGGATCCTCTGTGTACTCCCAGAACGGGTTCAACCCTGCCTTGAAGGGATGTCTTGGGGGCGGAGAACAAGAAGGGAGCTCAGTCCCTGTGGTCCATTTAGTCCTCAGCCTCAGCTAAGGATTAGTGCTGGTGATTAAGGGATGTGGATGCTCGCCTGCTGGGAAGCAGACTGAGGCTCAACAGACTCGTTTCATACAAGGGGTCACCGGAATGCTAACTGCAACTGTCCTAGGCTGATTTGCATTAGTGACCTACAGGCTGAAGGTCCAGGAGGCAACTGAGATTCTGCAGTCGCTGAAGAGAGCCATTAGGTGACCTCAACATTCAGGCACTCCCCACTACAACTCTTCCCCCCATTCAAATAGAGATTAATTCCCAAGCTTTACAGTAAAAAAAAAAAGAAAATAGAGAGACATCTGTCCAGATCAAATCCATCTCCCCATAGTTCACAGGCTCCCTTGGCTCTCACACAGCATCAGCATCCTCTGCCCAGTCATGCACCATGTTCTTAGCCTTGGTGGGGGACAGAACCAGTGCAGTGTACAGGCAAAAGCCTTTCTACTTGCTCCATCTTGGCAGGTGCCTGTGGGTTTGTCCAAAAAAATAGACTCACAGAACCACAGGGTTGGAAGGGACCACAAGGGTCATCTAGTCTAATCATCTGAGACAGGAAGATGGTTTATTTCCCCCAATGGCTGATGTCTAGAAGACAAGAGGACACTTGTCTTAACAAATCACTCCATCCAATTTCCTAGGAGAAGCCATGAGTCTCCTGGCCTCTCCTGAGCTCCTGGGGATCCCAGTCCGAGCTGGAATCTGAAACGCTCCTTCTGCCCTCTGGCACCTCTGCCTCGCTCCCCACAGCTTTGTGAGCCGTGGCCACATCCTGCTCCTGCCCCAGGTCTGGATGAAACAAGACGAAATGAAGGGCACCAGACCGGAGCTCTTGGCATATCCCCCCGACTGGGTAGCACAGGGACACACAACGCCTTTGTGCCTCATATTACGATACTGCCTCCATAAGGGGCAAAGGTGAATTCGGCCCCTTTTCAGGCTTCAGCCTTACTGCCAACAACGGAGCTACTTAGTGCCAATGTCATGGCGATTTTGTGGCAGACACACCCAACCTGCTAAGAACAAGACTGAGACCCAATCAACTCGTTCCATGTAAGGGACTCCTACACCATCAAATGCTGATGGCTTCAGGCCATGCTACCTACTCAAGGTCCCCACCTCTTGCAATAACTAGAATGTCCATTTCACCGGGGGGGGGGTTTCCACTCAATCTCTGATCTTCCAGACATTTGCTCCGTTTGCAGTGGCATTAGGCCTCAGATGCCTGTCCAGATCCTGTAAGAGCAGAGGCTGCCAGCTCAAGGACTTGCTGTCCACAGTCTAAGGGTTTGTCTACACGAACATTTAGTTTGTGGCAAGCTGGGTTGTGAATCGACTCCACACTAGCTTGCTGCAGACTAAATGTTGGCAGAAAGTCTTCTTTGAAATTGAACTAGATCAAAGTGCATTAATGAACTATTAATACGTGTCAGTAAGGTCCACAGGGACAGCTAGTCAGTGGCAGGCTAGCACAAAGTAGACTGACATCCTGCTACCGCAAACTAATTGTAGTCAAGACCTAAGAAACAACAGCCTTCCAAAGGACTTAGCCTGCTTTGCGGGATTTCCTCCGCTGTATTGACAGGGAATGGCAATAGAAAGTGACATTGTTAACCTGTGGAATTCCCTGCAGCAGGATATTATGGAGGCAAGTATCTCACTAAATCATTAAAAAAAAAAAAGGATTTGATGTTTGTAGGAATAAGAATAGCACCTGCAGTGACAATGGACAGGATAAACACTGAAATGTCAAGGACATTTGACCCTCATGATCCATCATGGAAGCCGAGAGCCAGTTGCAGTCCGGAAGGAACTGCTTTCTCCCTCAATGGTACACAGCACAGTGAAGTGCATTCAACATTTTCTTTGCAGCATCTAGCATTGGCCACTCTTGGAGGTAGGATACTGGACCAGATGGACCATTAGTCTGAACTGGTGCTGCAGGGATGGGCGTGGGAGATATTGGGCTAGATGGGCCCATTAGTCTGATCCAACATGGCAAGGAGTGCGGGGATATTGGGCTAGACAGTCCCATTGGGCTGACCTGGGGCAGCAGGGAGCTGAATGGGAAACTTTCAGATATTTTGATCCACCGGGAAAGGAGGATGATACTGACTAGACAGACCTATTGATCTGATCTGGGGAAGCAGGGAAGAAGGCGTATCAGGTTAGATGGGCCCATTAGTCTGATGTGGAATAGCAAGGAGTGGGGATACAGGGTTAGATGTAGCGAAGCAGGAGGAGGAATACCACGTCGGTTTGCACTGGAGTGGCAGGGAGTGTTGGGGGAAGAATGCGGAGCTAGACGAGCCCATCAGGAATTCCCATATTCTTAAAACAGGAATCAGAGAAACTCCAGCTGCAAGTGAATCAGAGCTGGGCCAAACAGCTTGGAGAAACACACGTCAATTCCAGCTCTGCGCTCGGCCTAACAGAGCTCAACCACACGCTGACTCTAGTCCCTGATCCCCCTCATCCCCGGGGTGGGAGCTTGCCCGCTTTAAACAGTCTCCGTGATCTGTATGAGCGGGGCTGCCGCAGCCCACGGTCCCAGGGTCAGGACGGCCACTGGCTCCTCCCCGTCCCCCTGGTGCAGCTTCTGGTGGCGGGTGAACTGGGGCTTGTAGCGGAAGCTCTTCCCACAGGCGCTGCAGCCGTAGGGCTTCTCCCCGGTGTGGATGCGTTGGTGCTTGATGAGGTTGGAGCTGACGCAGAAGCACTTCCCGCAGTCGGGGCAGCGGAAAGGCTTCTCGCCAGTGTGGATGCGCTGGTGCTCGATGAGGGTGGAGCTCTGGCTGAAGCGCTTGCCGCACTCCGTGCACTCGTAGGGCCGCTCCCCAGTGTGGGTGCGGTGGTGGGACACCAGGTGGGTCTTCTTCTTGAAGCGCTTGCCACACTCCCCGCAGGCAAAGGGCTTCTCCCCGGTGTGGGTGCGCTCGTGCTTGATGAGGTTGGAGCTGAGGCTGAAGCGCTTGCCGCACTCCCTGCAGCCGTAGGGTTTCTCGCCCGTGTGGGTGCGCAGGTGCTTCACCAGGTTGGAGGTGCGGCTGAAGCTCTTGCCGCACTCGGGGCAGTGGAAAGGGGTCTCCCCGGTGTGGGTGCGCTGGTGCTCGGTCAGGGTGGAGCTGCGGCTGAAGCTGCGCTGGCACTCGGGGCAGGTGTAGGGCTTCTCGCCCGTGTGCGTGCGCTGGTGCTCGATGAGGGTGGAGCTGCGGCTGAAGCTCTTCTCGCACTCGCTGCAGGTGAAGGGGCGCTCGCCCGTGTGGATCCGCTGGTGCTCGATGAGATTTGAGCTCTGGCTGAAGCTCTTCTCACACTCTGTGCACCGGTAGGGCTTATCTGCCGGGCGCCGGGGCTCCAGGATGCCCAGCAGGTTGATGAATCCCCTCTCACGGTGGGCAGACCGGCGACGCCTCATCTTCGGAGGGTTCACACGCAGCCTCCCTGGTCCACCCTGGCTCTGGCAGGCTGGAACAAGCCCCGAGACCGTCCCACACGGCTCCACTTCCTGCTGAGGATTCACCTCATCCTCACTTGCCACCCTGTCACCTGCCGAAAGAAGAAGAGAATTAAATCACAGTAGGCAAGTGTGGAAACCAGGACTCAAATCCATCCCTCCAGACTCTGGATTCTGCTCCAATGTCACTCAAGGAAAGGATGGGACAGGCTCCTACCAGGGATCAATCTAGATGGGTGCTGAAAGCCATCACTTTAAATTGCCACAGACCTTGGCCTGCTGTGAATTCCATTCCTACTTCCACTTGCCAACAGCCACTTTTAAGAATCATTGTGGAAAACCAAAGTGAACCTGCTATCGCATTCAGGGAATCATCTATTTAATGAATCCTTTGAAGTGGTTTTCTATACTCCACGCAGAATCTGGTGCTGCCGTCTTTATTTCTTAACCAGCATTATGGGTGAGGCCCAAGAACTGGTTGAAGGCTCAGTTATATCTTCCGGATACATTTCTTCAGTGGCTTGTAAAACCTCTTCCCTTTTTGCTTCTGGTAAATGGTCAGGTGGCTGCTAAATGTCAACCTTGTGGTGGACCAGGGCAGTACAATCTAGATCTTTGTAGACTCAGAACAATTAGATTCCTAACCAGAAAGTCTCTTAGACCGTTCTGCTGCTAGTCATTAAAATGTACAGCACTGCATTGGAACAAGTTCAATAGAAACTCTGGGCAGGTCTACACTAGAGCCGGGATCAACACTCTGAGATCGATCCACCGGCTGTCCATTTAGCGGGTCTAGTAAAGACCCGCCAAATCGACTGCAGATCGCTCTCCAGTCGATCCCTGTACTCTACCCCCGACGAGAAGAGTAAGGCAAGTGATGGGAGATTTTCTCCCATCGACCCCCTGCGGTGTAGACCCCACAGTAACTCGACCTAAGTTACATAGCTGGAGTTGTGTAGCGTAGGTTGACTTACCACGGTAGTATAGACATAGCCTCTGGGAGCTCACCTTCACCCCTTTCGCCTCTCTAGTTTTTTTTCCCTATACCGGCATTTACTCGATCTATAGGTTCTCATTTTGCCACTGTGGGTCCCTTTTTGTACTATTTGCTGTTTGTCTGAAACATTCAGCAAATGAACAGAGATCCATTCCTGCTTCAGTTCCACAAGAACTATAGCAGCTAGAATTCCCCCTGGGTGTTAAAGCAGGTCTCACTACTCCCTATCTTCCCCTTGCTGGAAAGCTACCACCGCATGTAGCTGTTATTATGGTTTTACCCCCTGAAGGTAGGACAATTTGCTCACAGCAAACCAGTTGTTTACAAACAATTTGTTTCACCTAGGCCACATCTTTCAAGGGAATTTCTACAGAATGAATCTGTAAGACAGCTTTCCTGGTATTTATTACAGTAATTAGCCATAATGAAATCCAAACCAACTGTCAGATCCTCCACTCTATTGGCTATCAACTTCTTGCTCAAATTCCCGAGGTTCAGTTTTCAAACCCAATTTTCCCTACTTTTGGACTGGTGCATGTTCCCCAGTCACTGTCTCCATTTGGGACCACGTAGCTGGTTCAGTTTTAGATCCTCTATTCCGTAACATGGTTAACACGTCTGGTCTAATAACTGTTCTCTCTGAGCCAATGTCCATTATTCTTATGCATTTCACAGATCTTATTACATATTCATATGAATATGTAACAGGATCATATTACATGTTCAGACTCCCATTATTGTTGTTTAACTGCCCAGATCTTAGCAAATACTGTGGAGCTGATCCTTGTAGTTCCAAGCTTTCCCCCTTCATCTTGGTGCTTCTCATTTCCCAGTTTGGATGATGGATTTTCACTAAGTGTTTGTGACGCTCAGTTCCGGCTTGCCTTAAATTTATAACAATTCTTTTAGTGGATAATTTTTTTCACAAATACCAGTATTTAAATGAACTGTTACCCTTCATTTTTGCATTATTACCAATTTCCATTGGTTTACAAACTGAATTGAACAACTTTTCCAAACACTCAAAAATGTCATGAACCAGATTAGAATCCTCTGTTCCAGCAGGCACATTAGACACAGAGCTGTACTTACAAAGCTCATGGGAAACATCTTCCTCTCTAGCGGCTGCTTCCTGGTCTGCTGCAAGGAAAGTTTCAAGTTCTGTGGCAAATTCCACAGCCTCTCTGAGCCAGGGCCGCCCAGAGGATTCAGGGGACCTGGGGGTCTTCGGCGACAGGGGGCCCCCGCCACCGAATTGCCACCAAAGACCCGGCACTTTGGCGGCGGGTCCCGGGGTGAAAGGACCCCCCGCCGCCGGTCTTCAGGGCACTTCAGCGGCGGGTCCCGGAGCAGAAGGAGCCCCCGCCGAATTGCCGCCAAAGACCCAGAGCGGAAGAAGCTCCGGGGGCCCGGGCCCCGTGAGAGTTTTCCGGGGCCCCCGGAGCGAGTGAAGGACCCCGCTCCAGGGGCCCCGAAAAACTCTCGTGGGGGCCCCTGTGGGGCCCGGGGCAAATTACCCCACTTGCCCCCCCCCCCGGGCAGCCCTGCTCTGAGCATCCTTGGCCTTCTGTTGCTGATCTTGATCTGCAAGTCCAAGTCCAGATGAGCATCTATACATCGGTCCACTGCTAATGTATCCTGGAAGGCCTCACTGGTATCTGGGTAAGCCAGGAACACAAATCTCTGCAAGTCCTTTGCCAGTTCAGGTGGAGTTTCTTCTTTCCCTCTTCTTCTAGCCCTTAGCTATGCCCTGGCCAGCTCAGATCGATGACTAGCCCCAAACCGGAAAACAAGGGCTTGTACCAAATCTGGATAACTCAGTCTCTTTTCTCGGGTAAGTTCTGCCACACCATCAGAGCTGGACCACTCAAGTCAGCTGCTAGAGACCCCCCTCTCAGTTCGTCTCCCCAGACATTCATTGGAGCTAGGATGTTAAACTGAGCCAAATAACCCTCCCAGGGAGCTTTCCCTCAAAGATAGTGGGCTTTTGTATTACTTGACTGGGACAGACAGTCCAAACTCTCTGAGGGTCACAAATGTCTGGTCTTACCCAAGTTCTCTGGCTGGCCTGATTCCTTATCCAGGCAACTGACTTCCACGGTGGTCTGTGACCCTTTAAATTCCTTCTTTAGGAGATCTTTTAGCTCCTCAAGTCCTTGCTGTAGCTCATCTCTGTTAGCATGTTCCAAGCTGGCCATAACTTCCTTGGTCTCCTCTATTTCCTGGAAAACCTTTTGGTCTATGATAGTCAGTTTGCCGGTCACCTCACTGATCTGTCTTGCCAGTCTGGAATGGATGTTTTGTAGCTGGGCTTTGAAATTTGCCCGAATATGTTGTAACTGCTGTACCAACAAAGATACAATCTCCGAATGCAGGTCATTTCTCAGTCCTTTCTGGGAAACCTCTAGATGTTGCTTTAATTCCTTTTGAGAAGGCTCCAGCTCCTGTTTTAGGTCTTGTTTTAATTCCTTCTAGCCATCTTTGATTTCTGCAAGCACCTCCATTATCTGTTCCAGCTTGGTTTAACAGGAATACAACTCTCGGTTTCTCTCCTGGAAAATCCATCCCACCTTCACACCAGTGTGGCTCCTTTGGCCTGACCAGATAAACAATATTCAAGATTTTGCCAGGTTTCAGAGTAGCAGCCGTGTTAGTCTGTATCCGCAAAAAGAACAGGAGTACTTGTGGCACCTTAGAGACTAACAAATTTATTTGAGCATAAGCTTTCGTGGGCTAAAATCCACTTCATCGGATGCATCTTTTGCCAGGTTGTTTCCATTAGGAGAAGAAATTGATCATATGAGTCAGGTATATTCTTTGGTTCAATCCACTTTGTTTACAAAGAATACACACAAAGGCTTGTTTCCCTGAACACAGTAGGAAAAACACAACAATAGGCACTTTCTTTGCTCACTACTTCCAAGTCTGCTCCTCTAGTCCATTCAGTGTCATGCATATAACTTCTTCTGTCCCTGTCAGCTGGCTTTCCATCTCTCTCTCACAGACAGAGCTAGCCAAACAAACCCCTGGCCACTGCGTTTGCCACCAATCCCAGGGAAATCGCCCAGACCACACGGCTCAGCCCTGCTCAGGCTTCTCCATGCGGTCCAGTGCATGCAAAATTCATTATTTATTTTCTTAATTTAATTAATTTTAAATGGAGTTTTAAAAAGAATGCATTAACTATGGAAAGAAATAATTTAATCCCCCTGAGTTGTTTGTTTAATTCCACTTTTTCAGTGTGGGAAGTAAGACTGCAGGCTATGGTAGGTGGGTAAAGGCAGCTGTAGCTTTTGGGGAGTCAGGTACAGTGGAATAAGAACACTAGCTGGATGTTTCTGTTAAAATGATCAGCAGTGAAATAGTGAACAGTCTGAATATTTAAATTGCCATTGTTAGGTTTCAGAGTCAATACCCCTTTGCAATGAATGGGGCAATTCACAAACACACAATTGTTTCACGTTGTCGGCAGGGTCAGGTAGACATCACTGCATCAATATAATGGGTTTGCTTTTAAGAATTTCTTTGCAAGCGTACGAGTGAAACAAAAATTGGAATTTGAAGCATGATTTTGTGTCAATGTGTGGATGCCGTGGCAAAGTAATATACAGGGGCCTATGCTGTGAGTGCCAGGAGGCAAGGACACCTGCTTGGATGATACTGAATGAGATGAGATGAGAAAAAAACAGAACCGGGGAGGCACCCAGTGTCTTTGCTGGGATCCCAGCTTTCCTTTTCACTCCTGGGAAATCTCTGAGCCAATGTCACTCATTCCTCACCTGTGGGTGTGTCTCTCTGGATCTCCCTTTCCTCGGAGCCCCGGATATCCAGGATGCACGGCTCTTCCTCTTGCTCCATCCAGGTGATCACAGGAAGTTCGAGGATTGGAAATCCTGCTTGTGGGGAAGAAAATAGGTTAAATCAACGTCCATCGAAAGCTGTACAAGAAAGGAAACAAGCTCCACCAGAATAAGGACTTTAATACTAGTATAATTTCATTTACCCTAGAGGATATACGGCTATAATTATTTCAGTAAAAAAAACCCAAAACACACACCACAAACCACAATAGTTACATCAGTACAAAATCTGTATGTAGGCTAGGCTTTAGACAGTAAGTTCTTTTACTATATGCATGGACAGTGTCCTGTACCATGGTGCCACATTCTCAGTTGAGGCTTCTAGCTGTTACTCTAATGCAAATAATGGTGATGATAATAATAATTAGATCTGGCTGGATAATATTCACTAAAAAAAACTAGCTGGTTAATTTATCCCCCATCAATTAGTGGGGAAAAATGATTGCCCAATCTTTGTTTTTCATTGTGTGACTAGCCCTCAAATATCCAACCAATTTTCCTGTTCGCCACCAAAGAAATTGCCAAATTCATTTCAATTTAACGTACCAGATGTACCTTCCTTTATTGATTCAGGGTCAAATGAACTGCATTTTCCAAGTCAGAGGAGCTAGACTGTGGCATTGGGATAGGATATACAGATAGCCCAGCATAATGAGATCTAGGGATGGAGAGAGGTAGAAAGAGAAAGAAAGAAAGAGATGTATATGGGGAAAGAGAGGGGGTGTATGAGAGAAGGGGTTTGTGAGGGGCTGAGAGTGAGATGTTTGGAGCTATATATATAGAGAGAGAGACAGAGAGAGGGGTGTATAGGGTGACCAGATGTCCCAATTTTATAGGGACAGTCCCGATATTCGGGGCTTTTTCTTATATGGGAACCTATTACCCCCGCACACTCTGTCCTGATTTTTCATACTTGCTGTCTGGTCACCCTAGGGGTGTATGAAGATGAGGGGTTGTATGGAGAGAGAGAGGGGTGTGTACGGGGTGGGAGAGAGACACAGGGACTGAGGGGTGTGTAGGGGGATGGAGAGATGAAGGGGTGTGTATGGTGCTAGACAGATAGAAGCACTAGGATCTAGGGATGGACAGATAGACACAAAGAATGCTCCAGCATCACAGATAGTCTGGCATGAATTCTGCCCCATGCACCCCCAGCCCAGCCCAGCCTCAGCCCCAACCTACCCTGCCCCCCCGGGGGAGAGACAGCCACCCGCCCCCTTCCCTTCCCACCCCCACCCTTCCTGCAGAGCCCCCGGGCGACTGAAAAGCCTCCCGCCGGCGCTGCCCCTTACCCCGCCGCGGCAAGGAGCTCGGGGCTCGCCGGGGGCGGCCCAGCCTGCGGGGAGCGGGGCAGACGCGCGCGCGCTCCGAGCCCTTTCCCCGGGACAGGGATCCGCTCACCCGGGCGCCCGCAGCCGCAGCTCAGCCCAGCCTCGGGGACAGGAATCGGCTCCGGTGGTGCCCCACTAAGGGCCTCCCCGGGAAAACGTCCCGGCCCGATGGTTCCTGGCTGTCAGCAACCCGTGCAAGCCCGGCTTCCCCCTGCGGTTTGGGGTTTCTCGGGGCGGGTGCCAGAGAGGAGGGAAGCGGTGTGTGTGTGTCTCTGACACAACAGGCCTCGCCCTGAGGGTCAAGGGGAGGGAGCTGGGGTGACTGAAGATACTTATCTGGCCGTGTGAATTTATCCCAGCTGCAGAGACAGGAAGAGATCTGTGGCCATGCCTATAGTGCAGTACAGGCATGGCCATAGATAGATCTCTCCTGTCTCTTCCGCTGGGATGCGTTCTAGGGTGACCAGATGTCCCGATTTTATAGGGACCGTCCCAATATTTGGGGCTTTGTCTTATCTAGGTGGCTATTACCCCCCCAGCCCCGTCCTGATTTTTCACCCTTGCTGTCTGGTCACCCTGCCTAGGCTACAAAATTAAGTCAGCTTAATTTAAGGCTGCGTCTACACTGCTGTAAGACATATCTGGTTTCAAGACTAAGCTTGATACGTTTATGGAGGGGATGGTATCGCCTTATTTGGGCAATTAATTGATCTTTGACTATTAGCGGTAAATATGCCCAATGGCTGACGATGGGATGTTAGATGGCGTGGGATCTGAGTTACTACAGAGAATTCTTTCCTGGGTGTCTGGCTGGTGAGTCTTGCCCACATGCTCAGGGTTTAGCTGATTGCCATATTTGGGGTCGGGAAGGAATTTTCCTCCAGGGCAGATTGGCAGAGGCCCTGGGGGTTTCTCGCCTTCCTCTGCAGCATGGGGCACGGGTCACTTGCTGGAGGAGTCTGTGCACCTTGAAGTCTTTAAAGCACAATTTGAGGACTTCAGTAGCTCAGACATAGGTTAGGGGTTTGTTACAGGAGTGAGTGGGTGAGATTCTGTGGCCTGCATTGTGCAGGAGGTCAGATTAGACGATCGTAATGGTCCCTTCTGACCTTAAAGCCTATGATTCTATGATTCTATCTGCCATGGAGCCGCTCTATGCCGGCAGGAGAGAGCGCACCTCTCCACCTAATTAAACCACCCCCCACAATCGGCATTAGCTATGTCTGCGGGAGAAGCTCTCCTGCTGGCATTGCACTGTGCTCACTACCTCTTATGGCGGCGAAACGTGTGTCGCTCGGGGATGTGGTTTTTTTCACACTCCTGAGCGACATAAATTTTGCTGACATAAGTGGTAGTGTAGAGATGAAGAGAAGAATATTCACTAGGAGGGTGGTGAAGCACTGGCATGGGTTACCTAGGGAGGTGGTGGAATCTCCATCCTTAGAGGTTTTTAAGGCCTGGCTTGACAAAACCTTGGCTGGGATGATTTAGTGGGTGTTGGTCCTGCTTTGAGCAGTGGCTTGGACTAGATGACCTCCTGAGGTCCCTTCCAACCCTAATATTCTATGATTCTATGATAAGAACATAAGAACGGCCCTACTGGGTCAGACCAAAGGTCCATCTAGCCCAGTATCCTGTCTTCCAACAGTGGCCAGTGCCAGGTGCCCCAGAGGGAATGAACAGAACAGGTAATCATCAAGTGATCCATCCCCTGTTGCTCATTCCCAGCTTCTGGCAAACATAGGCTAGGGACACCATCCCTGCCCATCCTGGCTAATAGCCATTGATGGACATATCCTCCATGAATCTATCTAGTTCTTTTTTGAACCCATGGCCTAACATTCTGCAGTAATTACATCGCTTGTGTGTATCTACTCTTTGTTTCTTGTTTCGGCCTTGCACATCCTCACTAGGAGCTCTTGTATCAATTATACTGTCAGAGTGGGGCATTGTGGGATGGCTTCTGAAAGGCAGCAACGGTTGATGTAAGCAATGCAGTGTCTACACTGACACCATGTCAACCTAACTACATTGACATTGACTCTTTGGTTCTCATGGAGGTAGAGTTATTAAGGGTGTGTCTACAGTACAAAATTAGGGTGACCTAAGTTACGTCGACATACAGCCATCACAGTCATTAAATCGCGTTTGCATGTCCACACTATGCTGCATCTACACTGACACTTCGTCGACCTAACTACATTTTCATAACTGCTACACCTCTCGTGGAGGTGGAGTTAGTAAATTGGTGTAGTGGACGAGTTACATGGGTAAGAGTTACATTTTAGTGTAGATGCTTACAGAGTTAGGTCAACATAAGCTGCCTTACATTGACCTAACTCTGGCCTGGTCTACACTATGGGGTTAGGTCGAATTTAGCCACGTTAGGTTGATTTTAAAATTACTATGTCCACACAACCAACCCCATTCTGTCGACCTAAAGGGCTCTTAAAATCGACTTCTGTACTCCTCCCCGACGAGGGGAGTAGCGCTAAAATCGACCTTGCTGGGTCAAATTTGGGGTAGTGCAGATGCAAATCGACAGTATTGGCCTCCGGGAGCTATCCCAGAGTGCTCCATTGTGACCGCTCTGGACAGCACTTTGAACTCCGATGCACTAGCCAGGTACACAGGAAAAGCCCCGAGAACTTTTAAATTTCCTGCCAACTCAGCAGCACTGAGGTTTCAGGGTGATGAAAAGGTCCTGGCTGCCGGGGAGATGGATTCCCTTCACTGCTTGCCTGTGCATTCTCCTTCTCCTCCTCCGCCTCCTCTTCCTCATCCTTTTTTATCTCCCCCCAGGTGCAAATGTTTCTACGCTCCCCCTATCATCTCCGTCCCTGAGGTTATCGCAGATTAGAAGGCAAAAAAACCGCACTCGTGATGACATGTTTTCCGAGCTCATGCAGTCCTCCCGCACTGATAGGGCACAGCTTAATGCATGAAGGCATTCAGTGGCAGAGGCCAGGAAAGAATTAAGTGAGTGTGAAGAGCGGAGGCAGGACGCGATGCTGAGGCTAATGGGGGAGCAAATGGACATGATGAAGCATCTGTTGGAGCTGCAGGAAAGCCAACAAGAGCACAGACCCCCGCTGCATCCATTGTAAAACCGCAAGCCCTCCTCCCCAAGTTCCATATCCGCCTCACCCAGACGCCCAAGCACGCCGGGGGGAGGCCTCCGGGCACCCAGCCACTCCACTCCAGAGGATGGCCAAAACAACAGAAGGCTGTCATTCAAACAGTTTGATTTTTAGTGTGGCTACAATAAACAATGTGGCCTTGTCCTTCCCTCCTCCCCCACCCCATCCAGGCTACCTTGTCCGTTATCTCATTTTTTTAAATTAATAAAGAAAGAATGCATGGTTTCAAAACAATAGTTACTTTATTTCGAAGGGGGGAGGGTGGTTGGCTTACAGGGAATTAAAATCAACAAAGGGAGCAGGTTTGCATCAAGGAGAAACACACACAACTGTCACACCGAAGCCTGGTCAGTCATGAAACTGGTTTTCAAAGCCTCTCTGATGCACAGCGCGCCTTGCTGGGCTCTTCTAATTGCCCTGGTGTCTGGCTGCTCAAAATCGGACACCAGGCGATTTGCCTCAACCTCCCACCCGCCCATAAACATCTCCTCCTTACTCTCACAGATATTATGGAGCACACAGCAAGCAGCAATAACAATGGGAATGTTGGTTGCGCTGAGGTCTGACCTACTCAGCAAACAACGCCAGCACGCTTTTAAACGTCCAAAGGCACATTCTACCACCATTCTACACTTGCTCAGCCTATAGTTGAACTGCTCCTTACTACTGTCCAGGCTGCCTGTGTAAGGCTTCATGAGCCATGGGAGCAAGGGGTAGGCTGGGTCCCCAAGGATAACTATTGGCATTTCAACATCCTCAATGGTAATTTTCTGGTCTGAGAAGTAAGTCCCTTCTTGCAGCTGCTCGAACAGCCAAGAGTTCCTAAATATGCAAGGTCATGCACCTTTCCCGGCCATCCCACTTTGATGTTGGTGAAACGTCCCTTGTGATCCACCAGTGTTTGCAGCACCATTGGGAAGTACTCTTTGCGGTTCATGTACTGGTTGGCAAGGTGGTCCGGTGCCAAGATGGAGATATGCGTTCCGTCTATCGCCCCACCACAGTTAGGGAACCCCATTGCAGCAAAGCCATCTAGTATGACCTGCAAATTTCCCAGAGTCACTACCCTTGATAACAGAACGTCAATGATTGCATTGGCTACTTGGATCACAGCAGCCCCCACAGTAGATTTGCCCACTCCAAATTGATTCCCGACTGACCAGTAGCAGTCAGGCGTTGCAAGCATCCACAGGGCTATGACCACTTGCTTCTCAACTCTCAGGGCAGCTTTCATCTTGGTATTCCTGTGCTTCAGGGTGGGGGAAAGCAACTCACAGAGTTCCAGGAAAGTGGACTTACGCATGTGAAAGTTTCGCAGACACTGTGAATCATCCCATACCTGCAACACTATGTGGTCCCACCAGTCTGTGCTTGTTTGCCTGGCCCAGAATCGGCAATCCACTGTATCAACCAGCCCCACTGCCGCCATGATGTCCCAATTGCCACAGCCCGTGCTTTCAGGAATGTCTGTATCCATGTCCTCATCAAAATCCTCCTCTTAGCCCGGTTCTGCATATACTCCAGGATAATGCGTGAGGTGTTTACAATGCTCACAACAGCAGTGGTGACGGTGAGCTGAGCGGGCTCCATTCTTGCCATGGTATGGCGTCTGCACGGGTAACCCAGGCAAAAAGGTGCGAAACGATTGTCTGCCGTTGCTTTCACGGAGGGAGGGGCGACTGACGACATGTACCCAAAACCATCCGCGACAATGTTTTTGCCCCATCAGGCATTGGGAGCTTAACCCAGAATTCCAGTGGGCAGCGGAGACTGCGGGAACTGTGGGATAGCTACTCTGTAAGTCGATGCTAGCCATGGTAGTGAGGACGCACTCCGCCGACTTCATGCGCTTAGTGGGGACAAACGCAATCGACTGTATAAAATCGACTTCTATAAAATCGACCTAATTTCGTAGTGTAGACA